TTTGGTTTGCCACCCCTGCCCTTAGACCCTTCTGGCGTGCCCGTATTCCATGCTATTTTTGCTTCACATCTTAGATATTCATGCCAAGTATCTTGCAGTCCCATCAACAAGTTTTTATTAAGTTATTCCACCTCCAAAACAGGGCTTTAAAAATAATTTATTTCCAGAATATTAATTTTAATCCTAATGTGCTCTGCCTAACTTTTAAAGTGTTAAAATTATGTGATTATATTCAACTTTTAAACTGTTAATTTTTATAACCACCAACACAATAATCTACTTTTAACTTTTATCAATTTCTTTTCCAAAAGTGTTAACACTCGTTATCGCCTTTGTTTCATGTGTAATTTATACCTGTCTGCCTCTAAACACCGCTCTTATAATTACGGACATAAATCAATAAAATATCAAAACATCAAAACTTAGTACAAAATTCCTTATAAAGCTCTCAATTCATTCTCAATCTTTAAAACCAGTTTATTCTACTTTTTATTAAAAATTTTAATTTTAATTAATATTTATAGTTAATATTTATAGGTTCTATAATCAATTTTTTTGTCTTAAGAATTGTTTATTATTGCTGTTATTATTATAACACGTTTGGTATTTCTAATTTCTATTACAACTTTTGTTGTCATTATCGCTTATTTTTATTTTTATAAAAATTTACATTACAATTATTAACTACTTATAACTGTTATTACTAATATTAATATTGTTATTACTATTATAGTTATTACTTCGTTATTTTTTGTGTATCGTTGTTATAATAATACTAATTTTCAGTACTGTCATTTTTGTTGTTGTTATATTATTGTTGTATAACTTATTATATATTATATTACTATAGTATATCTTTTAAAAATTACTATTATTGATATCTATGTTATATTTATTGTTATTATCACTATTTTTGTTATTATTGAATTTGACAGGTGTTTACTTAATATTAGTACTCATTACTATTTGTAAATATCCTTGATGTAAGAACTTTTATTCAGAAATATATTTGATTTGATTTTTATTGGACGGTAATTTATTTTGTAATAAAGTTCTAATAGATGAAAAACTTATTAACTTTTTTGCTAATGTTAGGTAAAAAATATTTCTCCAACTTAACTAACATTCGACTTCTATCTAACAACTTTTATAAAAAAAACGAATGAAAAAAAGCTAGATATATTTAAGTTGCAATCTGCCGTATTAAGTCTTAAAGATAAAAAAATACAGGATCAGATAAAGTTAGTGTCAATGCATGAAAATTTGTCTATGATAAAATTGAACCATCCTTATTTCATATTAACCGTTTATCTTATTAAATCAGCTATAGTTCCGCATAATTTAAAAGTTGCACGAGTCCAATTTTTAAGGCTGGAGATGAGTCAGGCCCCTCAAATTACAGGCCTATTTCTGTCTTATTGTGTTTTTCTAAATTGGTTGAACGTATAACGTACAATAGATTGTATAATTATTTAATTGAAAATGATATGTTGTACAGTAAGCACTTAGGTTTCAAAAAAAATAATCAACTGATCACGCAATCGTAAAGTTAGCTACCCATTTACTTAATGCTTTTATAGAAGACCGTTGTATATTAAGAGTTTTCATTGATCTTTCTAAAGCTTTTGAGACCGTAAATTATTCCATGCTAATTGAAAAAGTGAAACATTACCGACAAAGCCGATAGCAGCCGTGGCGCAGTGGTAGCACACTTGTCTCAGTAACGACTCCGTGGTTCAAACCCCACCTCTGGGCAAGTTTTGCGACATCGGTTGAGAAGGAGGCGTGAACTTCTTATAAAATGCTCTTCCGCGGTGCTCTCTGATAAGACCGTAAGGACTTTTTAGGGCACCTTAATCAACTTACAAAAAAAAAAAAAAAAAAAAAAAAAAAAGGATTCAAACTTACACTGGTTTGAAAATTACTTGTCGAACAAAAAACAATACGTACAATGTGATAATATAGAAACAACCAAAAATGCTATAACTTGTGAAGCTCCACAGGGTTTTATGTTAGAACCTATACTTTTTTTTACTATACATTAAGTATTTATCTTCAATATCAAACTTATTAAGCTTTATTTTGTTTGCAGGTGACTCTTTTTTGTTCTCATAAAAATGTTTAAACACTTTTTAAAGTAGCCAATGAAGAACTAAATAAAGTAAAAGAATGGTTTATATTGCAACAAACTGTCTTCGAATGTTCAAAAAACAAAATTTTCCCTTTATTTTACAAACCAAGCATATTAAAAGAAATACCTCTTATTTTACCGAAGAATACCTCTTATTTTACCCACCTCCAAATTAATAAAAGTGACATTAAAAGGGAAACTTCTGTTAGTTTTTTAGAAGTGAAACTTTGATAAAAATCAATCATAGAAACAACATTTAAACTCCATTGAAAAAAAAAAAACTTGATAAACATTGGCATGATCTATAGAGCAAAGCCATTTTTAAATTTTAGGTTCGTAAAATATTTACATTTTTCTTTTAAAAATAGTTATTTAACTTACGGCAATATAGTATGAGCAAGTTGTAATCGCAATAAGATAAAAACATGCAGTCAGAATTGTATTTGGAGCTGGTAAAGCTGTTCTTTGTAAACTCCTTTACGTAGACTTGTTGCCTTAAATATTCTCAAACTTAACATCCATCTAGTTTTTCAGTTCATGTATAAAACATATTGTGGACTGTCTCCAAAAGGTTTTGAATTTTATTTTGAAAAATTACATCATAAGTATTTTACAAGATTTTTCATAAACAACTTATATGTACCAAAATCATATTTTAAATCATAAATCATAAAAGTTTTCCAAACATTGTCGCCGAAAAGAATTTTTCATTAAACCAGTTTAGAATTAAATCAAAGCGGTGTTTATAACACGTAGATTTGATTTATCTTGTAATAAGTGTTTCTTTAAAAATAGATCAATAAGATAAAATCATCTAAAACACTATATCAACTAAAAAAACAATGTGATTAATTTAAGCCAATCTTATGTTCAATCGCCCTGTAGGTTCAAAAACTAAATGAAATAAATACTGACATTAATCATTATCATAAATCGCATTATTTTTTTTTTTTTTTGTTCATTATTTTTGTTTGTTTATTGTTTATTTGTTTTTTGTTTTTTTCTAATTTATTTATTTATGGTATTGCTTATTAATTATGATGATCTTATTTTAACAGTAAAATTTTTGTAAACATTTATTATATTTCTTAGTTTTAGAAACTCGGGACATCATGACGGAAGCAACTCACTGCAGACACGCAGTAGACGTCATTTACACAGACTTTGCAAAGGCGTTCGACAAAGTACCACATAAACGCCTCCTTCATAAGCTGAAAGCGTATGGTATTCAAGGCGCTCTCGTTGATTGGATTGCAGCTTGGCTAAACAATCGATGTCAACGAGTGATTATAAACAGCATTACTTCTGAATGAAAAGCAGTCACAAGTAAAGTGCCTCAAGGCTCGGTCTTGGGCCAATTGCTATTCGTAATCTTTGTAAACGTCCTGCCGGACAGAATTACTCATCATATGAAACTGTTTGCCGACGACAGCAAAATAATAGGTATAATTAAAAAGGAGTCAGACAGCATCACTCTCTAAAATGACGTCGACAGAGCAGTGGAATGGTCACACAAATACTCAATGTCTAACGTCGACGGCACCCGTCGTACTCTCGAAAAAACCGCAGTCGAAAGAGACCTTGGTGTGATGGTCTCGAATGATCTTAAAGTCAGACCGCAAATAAAGTCAGCCGCATCAGTAGCAAATAGAATGCTAGGGCGACTCAAAAAAACATTTCGCAGTCGCAGTTTTTATTTATGGCGCACTCTGTATCTCACTTACATTCGCCCCGATCTTGAGTTTGCTGTACAAGCCTGGTCACCGCATTTAAAATCAGACATGACCATTTTGTTGCTCGTTGTTGGACCTCGAGCAGGTCCAACAACGAGCAACAAAAACAATATCGACTATTAAACACCTGTCCTATGAAGATCAACTCCAACGGCTTGGTTTAACAACTCTTGAAGAACGCCGCAAAAAAGCAAATCTTATCGAGCAATTCAAAATCATTCGTAAACTCGAGCTTGTCAGTTTTGTCGTCCCGCAAAAATTTTCAAAAAGTAAAGATAAGTATATTCTAAGAGGCCATAACCATAAACTAGAACGTCAGATGGTAAAAAACTGTGAGGAGCGATATAACTTTTTTTCAAACAGAATTGTCGCCCCATGGAATGCGCTTTCGCAAGAAGCAGTGAACCCTTAATCCATCAACGCATTCAAAAATAACATAAGAAAGTAACTTTATAGATACAACTGCTGCTTTGTCTGTAGCGTCTGTATCGCCATGTTCGTCAGCATAGAGGGGCCTGGTGTAGCACCTCTTCATCAAATTACAAATGGATTATTGTATTTATATTTGATCACTGAAATAAATAAATAAATAAAAAAAAAATACTTATACTCTTGAATTTATAATCAAGTTTATTCTCTTATATAATATTTTAATAGATAATATTTTAGAAAAAGTATCTAATGTAACATGGCACTTGGCGATAAGACAAGAATAATGCCTTCTTCTTGCTCCTGCCATTAATTTTATTTGTAAATTTTTTTTTATTATTTTTATTTGTAAATTTATTTTATTTGTAATTTTGTTTGTAAATTTTGTAGGTTTTTAAACTAATTATTAAAACAAAATAATTCAAAAGTTTTGCGTCGTCGAATCTTGAATAAATCAAAAATTATAATTGCGATAAAAAGTGTAGTGAAAATCGCCATACAAATGAGAAAATGATCTCCTACTTCTTTTTAATAAATAACTTTAGTAAAGCGCAGTTTATATACAATCTCTTACTTTGCTTTTTTATTACTGCCTGCAAAAAACACAATCGCAAAATACTAAAATAAACATTGTAATTTTTGAACAATGAAACTAATGTAAACAATGTGAAGAGTGCAAACATTAAAAACCATGTTTTACAAAGTTTGAAAAGATTTTAAAGTATGTCAAAAATGGTGTAATTAGTTCTACTAGTTTTTTATTAGTTTATAAACTATAATTTCCAGTGTCATTTACAACTTGTAGCGTTTCTTTTAACGCTATAGAAGATATGTTTCTGATTTGTCTAGCACTTTTAATTTTATCTATTGGATTATTTTTTTTGCGTTATTTATTAAAACGTATCTTTCACCCTCTTCAACTTTTACCATCACCAAAAGAACAACTCATTACTGGTCATATTAGTCACTTTCAAGGCCGCGACCATTCCAACACCTTTTTGGGTTTCAACGAAAAGTTTAAAGAAGAAGGTTTATGTACGCTAGATACATTATATGGTAAAATTAGTTGTTTTAGTTTATGTATTTTTCAGAACTTTATACAATTAAATTACAAAAATTAAGTTTGTTGAACTTTTTTTTATGTTTTTATTTATAAATAAAACCAAATATGCATGTTTATTTTTAAAAATATTGTATTTAAATAAAAAACCATAGTTCAATATATTAAAACGAAAACTTTGAACTATAGTTTAACACTTTAATTGAAAACCAAAAAGTCAAAAAAACAAGTTTCAATTAAGGACTTGTTAGTAGGTACGGCATTGTGAAAATTAATTGCATTAAACTTTTTTTTTTTCTTTTTGTTACTACTTTGCTTCAATACTTTGATAAATCTCAATGGAAAAAAGATACTCTGTTATAAGTAAATAAATCTAAAGTTATCTGGGGTAAAAAAAGTTGCAATAGACAGCTTATCAATATTATGAAAATAAAATCGTCATCGCAAACAAAAAACTTAACAGAAAGATGATTGATATCTAATGCATGAGATCAAAAGTCCAAAGATGGCAAGTGACCAACCTGATAATTTAGCTATAAATGACATCCATAGCTATAAATGACAATCCATAGCTGGAAAGCAGCTATTAAGCTCAGCTACAAAAACTTAAAACATTGTCAGGCTTTGGTAAATTCCATGCGAAAATGTATGCAAAATGTCGTAGTTTTAAATTTATAAACAAAAAACAAACTCATAACTATACCTAATATAGAAAATTTTTGGGCATAAATTTCAGAGTAGCTACATACAAAACCACTAATAACTTTAGTAAAATTATAATTAATATAAAACTTACGTGTTTGTAAAAAAAAAATGTAGCAAATAAAACAGCGCTACTAAGTTGTTCTGCAGCAGCTTTAAAGATAAAAAGTATATAATTATGTTTTATCTCTATTACTAATTTATCATTCCATTTCACTTATAAAATAAATAAAAATCCAATAAAGAATTTTCTTTTTTTTAGCTTTTTAGCTTATAACAAACCTTATTCTTTCAACAGCAACATTTTTTAAAAAGTCTTTTAACAGTCCAAGGCATCCTGATTGACATAAAACCTTATAAAATTTCCAAGGAGTATGCCATAATATTTTTATTGGCTCTACGGTAGATTATTTTTCTATTTTGATTTCCTAGTTATTATTGCAAACTTGGTGTTTCTAAATCAATCCAAAAGTCTTTAATTAGGAACATAAGTTTGGTTCTTAATTCTTTTTACATAATCAATTTTTTCACTGTCAAGAGATGCTGTGACAGTTTCATTTATGATAAGGTGATAACTGGTTAGGCCGAAACACACTGTTCAATTTTTATAACTGACAGATAGGAATTAAACATTGCTCATTTCTTACGAGTAAAGATTTAACACCACTTTAATAGTAGCTTTAAAAAGAGTTTGACGTTAACTCTGAATTTAAATTTAACATTTTCTGCACAAGCTTCATTACCATCTATGTAAAATTAATTGTTACAAGTAAGTATAAAGCTACATAAAGTATAAAAAATTTTATCATCCGAAATGAAAGTTTGAATTTTATAAATTGTATTAAATTTTTAGCACTTGGGTAACATTTGTTTTATAAGTCAAGTGGTTTACTAAGAATTTCTATTTTTTTGTTGATTTTAAATGTTTTTCTATTTTTTAATCAATCTTTTAATGTGTACTTAAAATAGTTTAACTTTTTAGCCATCTGTTTTTGGCTATAGTTTAAGTATTTTTTTTAACAGCATATTTTCTTTTTGGCGTCTATTTCCATAAGATAATTGCTTTTCATTCATTTATCCCGTGATTAATTTGATTTATAAACTTGACAAGTCTGTAAACCGTTAACTTATATTCTAAACATACTAAATTACATTCATCAAAGAAATAATTGGCAGCAATGGGATTTTTCTTTACAAAACTAATGACAGTTTTTGAACATAATAATGCTTTAAATATAAGTTACTAATTAAAATTTAATAAATTATCAAAACTTAAAGTCTTATGAAATTTTATAATAATAACTTAATATAATTTAGACATAATAAACAACAATGTACAATAATATAATAGTATATAGCCCCCCCCCCCAAAAAAAAAAAAAAAAAAAAAATGCTATTCAAATAACTTTAAACTTGCTTTGCACAATTTATATATAGTGAGTAAGTTTTATATAATGCAAACTGACAAAAAATAAGGACTGCAAGTTTTTTTGTCAGTCAAAATTTCTCTATGATGTCTTTTGTTCTAAATTTTTTATACCAGAGTTTTAGAGACCAGGAAAAAAAGAAATTGACTCCTTCAAATTTATGAATATACTTGTTGAAAAAATACGGGTAAGTGTACCACCGGTACAAATTGTTTTTCGCCACTAACTTTTGCAAAAAAAAAAAGTATATAAAAAAAGACATCTTCTAATTCAAAGATATAATATATAAAATTACCATTCGTATAAGATGTTGTTGCCACTAAAGAGTACAAAATAAAAAGGATGTAATACATAGTACAATAATAGATCATTTATAAGTATTTTAAAAAGACTCAATCATTGCTACTATTGCTATCAAATATCAAAACCATAAAATACTACAAAATAAAATAGATAATAAAAAAAAAAGCCATTTTTAAACTTTGTCATATGTAATAATTTTGGAAAGAAATGATATATCGCTTTATTATTGGTACCACATGCTGATGCAACTAAAGAACACAAAATAAAAAGAGAATTTCAAAAATACTTTTTTTTTGATTAAATCTTTTTTAAAAATTTATTTTAAAAAAGATTTAATTAAGTTTTTTAAAAATTTGAAGTGATTAAGCATCCCTACCACCTTATTAAGCTTGTAACATTATTATTAAAAACAGATGTCGCCAGATGAAAACGCTAAGTAAAAAAGATAGTAATAAGTAATCATTTGATTCGCCAACTTATTTATTTGAAAAGTTTAATCTCACCATTGCTAACAGACGTTGATCCCGCTCCAGCAAATAACATCTTAAATTTTTATGTAATACATATTTGTATTCCATAAAACTTAAAGATATTAAAAGAAACATATAACATTACCACTGGTACCTAATGCTGTTGCCACTAAAGATTTATTGAATAATAATTTAAAAGATTTTATATCTTATATCGATTATAATGATTTTGAAATGATTTAATATAGAATATTATCATTGGTGCAAGATGTTGTTGAGACTAAAGTATAGAAAATAAAAAGGCTACAATATAAAATATTTTTATAAGTTTTTTATAATTATTTTAAAAAGATATAACATTAACATTTGCTACAAAGAGTCAATGCCACAACTGAATACAAAATAAAAAGAATAATAATCAAATGAAAAGTTACAAATTTATGAACTCGTATTAAAAAGATACATGTAACTTTACTGCTGGTACTTAAATGCTATTGCCAGTAAAGGTTACAAAAAAGATATCTTTTCATACTGAGTCATTTATAATCATTTTGAAAAGAAACATTCTTACCATTGCTACACGATGTCATTGCCATTAAAGACTACAAAATAGAACAGATAACAAGCAAAAAAATATTTTCAAAATGCATGTCATTTATAATTATTTTAAAAAGATATTATCTGTAAGATTATCAATGGAGAAAATAGTTGACAACAATTAAGAATAAATTCTTAAAAAGATTTATTAGATAATTATTTGATCGGCTGTTTACAAGTATTTTGAAACGATACAACTTTACGATTGCTACTAGACATTGATGTTCTAGTAATAGAAAAATATAAAAGAAAACAAGCAAACAAACCCTAAAAAAGTTATTGAATATATACTTGTACTGAAAAGATATGTGTAAGCTTACCACTGTTACCAGATATTGATGTTACTAAAGTCTATATATTAAAAAGATTGATAAATAAAAAATAAAAATATATAAAAATAGAAATACAAATATAATAAACTACAAATTAAAATCAAAATAGCAATCTAAAACAGATGAAATAATAAATGGATAAAAATTAAAATAAAAAACCTTATAAAAGTTATGAAATATTTACTCGTATTGAGAAAATAGATGTAGCTATACCACTGCTAAAAAATATCGTTGCCCTTCAATGATTACTATTTTATTAGTAATGTTTAATTGCTAACTGGGTATAAAAAGGCAGCTTTTTCTAATATATCTGATTTTATTACTAAAATTGTAAATTAAACAAATTTTTATGATATGCTGAAATGCACTTGGTTATTAAAACCATGCTCCCAAATCCAATTTTTAAAAAATAAAAGATAGTGATGGTCTTATAAAAACTGAAAAAGATGTCAATGTTGTTTGTAAAAAAAAAAAAAAAAAAAAAAAAAATTAAGAGAATGCTAGCAACAATACGTGGAAAACTAACATTCTAAGAATGCTTAGGTTCTGATATATTTAGAGATTTGGACAAGCAAATGTCTGATACTAGTATTAATGAAAATCATTTGTTCAAAATAATTTATCAATGTTGTTGCAAAGTGAGACAATGTGATCTTGGAAAACAAGCCACACAGAAAGTGGCAAAAAACAAAAAGTTAAAAAGTTTATTAAATTGTTGTTATTTAATATTCAGTTAAGATAAACTTTAAATGTTAAATTGTGTGTGTGTGTGCGTGTGTGTGTGTGTGTGTGTGTGTGCGTGTGTGTGTGTGTGAGTGCGTGTGTTTGTATGCGCCAAGCGAATAGAAAAAATACAATTGTTTTAATTCAGCGTTTTGGGAGTAGCTACTCAGTTTTAAGTGATAAAAAATTTGAGAAAAAATTTTTATCCAACCACTCTTGATTGATTAGAGTGTCAACGAAGAAAGAGTGTAAATCGAAGAAAAAATGAAAAGTTAAAAAGCATAAATATATCACTCAAGAACGAAATTTTTAAAGTAAATAAAGCAATGACATTTCAAAACAATCAGTATGAACAATTTATTACACTTAGTGTGCGATGCAAATTTTCCAGTCTCTGAAAAAATTAAAAAAATAAAAAAACTATGAACAGTCTTTTGATTAC